CCCTAAAAAACTAAAACTGACTAGATGTCTTTTCTTTTCTTTTCTTGATACAGTGTCAACACAGGCATACAACCTAGTGTTACATGTATATCAGACATTAATCCCCCATCTTTCCTAAAAAACAAAAAAGAATGCAAGCTACATTTGTTTTGCTTCTTTGTATCTGTGCATATCTCTTTAGAATATCTTGAGCATTTGTCACAGTGTTACTTTAAAGCCTTTTGACATGGCTGCCATTTTCACTTTGCATCTCTTTTTCATAGCCATTGACCCAAACACCGAGTCAGTCGAGGATTTGATGCAGAGATTCCAGGACAGTTTCCGTGTTCCCAACACGCCAACAGACATGTCTCACTACCAGCATGTCATGCACAGCTCGTCAACAGGCCGCCGGAGGGTCCTGAGCCACACCAGAGGTAGGACACGAAGTCATTAAAAAATTTGAAGTTTTTGTTAAAAACATACTACAGACACCACAAGAGGATTTGCATGTTCTTTTTCATTTTACACTATATACTGGACAGTATGTGTTAATCCTTTCCACTTGATACTAGTAGTTTGAGACCTAAGTGATAATGATGGGGTGATAATTTCTTAATTTTGTTTATTGTTTAACAATAACGATACACAGGACAGTTTATTACCAGTGCATTCCATCTGTAGTCCTCTGGGTAATTTCCAGTCCAAATAATCAATATATTAGTAGTCATTAATCATTTATCTGTGTCTGTGCATACACAATCACAAGTTTGTCCACAGAAAATTATGCAGAATAACTAGACTATCCAGTTTTGAATTCAGTTCATTATTCGGCATTCACATCTTTGGTGCTTTCATTGCTTCAGCATAATCATCATAGAGGTCACATGCACAATGCATTTAACCTACAGTATCAGGCTTTCAATTATCCACTACAGTGCATAGACATACCATCACCTGTTTATGCATTATAAGAATCACTTCGATTACGTTCTGCAGTAACATGTTTAAATATTGACTATACAGTCTTAACCTCATCAATTATCATTTCTGTCAGTTTATAATTTGTTTGGCTTTATTTCATCAAATATGATTTGGAAGAACAAGTTCACTCCAGTAATTATCAGAAATTTACCCGAAATAAATAGGGCTTCTTATCTGAAAGAATAATTTGAAAAAAGTTCTAATAAGCATAGTAAGGTAGTCTAGTGCAGTGTTTCCCAACCACTGTGCTGTGGCACATAGGTGTGCCGTGAAAAATGATCAGGTGTGCTGTGGAAGATTATCTGGTTCCACCTGATTAGTAATCTAAGCTAGCAGTCCCCAACCTTTTTGCACCACAGATCAGTTTATGTCCGACAATATTTTCACGGACTGGCCTTTAAGGTGTCGTGGATAAATATGACAAAATAAAACCAGTACCAGTACAAAAAAACCAAAGTTTTATTCATAACACACGGGAAAAGACCCAGGGAAACTGAATTAACGATAAAAACGAAAAAAAAAAAATGAAAACAAAAACGATAAAAAAGCATAAATTTGACGCCTGAGCCTCAACTCTTGTGGCCCAGTACCAAACGACCGGTCCATGGGCCGGGGGTTGGGGACCGCTGCTCTAAGCGACCTGCATGAGTAATGGGCAGAACAATTACATTCTCTTCCACTAGAGGGCAGTACAACTACCTGCTCTAATTAAATGTGTTGACAACTGCCAGTGAAACAGAAGAAGATGAAGGAGAAATTACATAATAGTCATGCCGTGAGTGAGACAACACAGCGCATAAATTGATAAATATTTGAAAAGAAAAAGTTAGGGCTTTCATCTTGGTCCTGCTGAAAATTTCGACCCAGATGAAGGTCCTAGCATGAGTAGTGATCAGAAGAAAGCAAAAAAAGGTATACTGGGGACAAACTCAACCAATTCCGCTATGTCTGGTGCACGGGGAAAAATGATCAATATGCCTTTTGTGACATTTTTGTTTGGTGGTGTGCCATGGCACCAAAAGGTTGGAAAACACTGGTCTAGACAGTTATCACCATAAAGTTAGCATCTAATGTGCTACATGCATTTCCTTTGCTGTTATGCATTACTTATGTAGTAGATATAAGGTTAAGTTTACCATTAAATCCATGTAGCCTCAACAGAGTGAAGGGTGTCATTGAGAGATGTCCTCTCTGGTGTCAATAGTAAGAGTCTCCTTTGAGAGCATATAATTAGAGGTGAAACAGTGTCACAAGTGTAGAAGTATGGGCCACATGATAATAGAAGAAGCACTTACTATGAGCAGTTAAAGGTGAAAAGTTATTGGTCATATCTATTGGTTAGTGCTGCATAAGGGAAATTAATTAATTACATCAGATTTAATGAGAAGCACCAAGGAAAGTAGATTGCGGGTTGACAGAAACTTTTCTATTTTCTATTTCTTAGCTTGGTAGAACTTTGTATTTGTACTTGGAATATTTAGAATTTTTTATTAATTCTCTTTTCTGCAGTGTGTATTTGCATATGCCTACACACACACACACACACACACACACACACACACACACACACACACACACACACACACACACACACTTTATTTTCTTCTTTTTTATCACCTATTAATACGTTTGGCAGTGTAACATGAACATGAACACTGGGGTGTATCTCTCGCAACAATACAAGAATCCATATGCAAATCTAACTAAGTGGGACAGACAGGTAGAGCACGATACAGCCCAAGTATAGTTGATGAGAAGTGACAAGAGCTGGTTAAACTGAGCTTGTGGAAATAATGTCACTGACATAAATGACATGACCACACAGGTTGATTGTTATCTGCCATGGAATATGGGTGGTAACAATAAAGACAAAAAAGTCTTTTTTTTGCTTTGTTTTTTACTTGAAGGGATTTGTGTATCACTGCAATTCTTAAAAGAAACATTGAGGCACACTCCCAAGTCAGAATAATCATATGTCTAACTCCCAAAAGCATTTTAAATTTATGGACTATAGGTTCATTTTATCCTTAAGACATATTTGGAGCCCGGAGCCTGAGCCCTGTGTCACTACACAAAGAAAAGAGCACAAGATTTCACTGGTTTTTTTTTTTTGGTTTTTTTTTTGTCCCTCCCCCCAAACTGTTAGATAAGACACTGCAGTCATTATAGTCAGTTTCTATATCATACTGATGATTTGTAACATGAGATTCAGGAAGTTAAAATGCTAATAGGGAGAACACAGGCAGCTGATGAGTCTGCAGAATAGGAAAGCTCTTGTCCTCAGTGTCTGAGTGGGAGGAAAAACAGTAGGTACTGTAAGAATATGATGCGTGGGGCATCAACAACCAGCAGCACACACAACAATTTCCAGCAGTTGAACACATTTTTTACTGGAACCTGAGAGACGGCGGGGAAAGCATGCCATTAATGGTCAGTCATTAGGGTGAATTGTAGATTCTTGCCTGAATCTGTATTGGGGTTGGAACAAGACCAAATACGAAGTGTTGTGGGCACACGAGTTGCACGAGTGCAGGATTGTCCGATGAATATGGTTATAGCTGACTAATCACAGTCTGCTGGTTAACTTGCTTCAGATGGATGTTACAAAAAAACTGTAACTGAATGTGTGGAAAACTACAGTAGCAGTTGTGTCAGCTCAGCTAAGCCCTGCAGCTGTTCATCTACTCTTCTACTGGCATCCACAAGTCTGCATATTGAAATTTTGCTTTGTGGCAACATTTCTTGCTTCCCTGTCAGCACATATTGGCCTAGTTTCTTGTAGCACCATCTCATACCTGGACTCAGATTTTTTTTTTATGCATAAATTTTCCTGTTACACAGTCATCACCATTTCCATTAATAGAAATGTATTACAGATAATAATAACTAATATCAAGAAAAAGAATACAGTTCTGCACAATGAAAGCGGTTATATGATGCAAACTGCACTCTGATTGCTCAAACCATCATCGTTTTAGTTAGATTTCAGACAAATGTAATTGCATCCAAAACTTTGATCTGGATAAGTTGTTTTTTTTTTCACTTCTCTTTAATTTAAATGTTACTTGCTCTTGTGGTGATGGCAGAAAATTATGATGAGCAAAACATGTGTTTAGCTTGCAGCTATCTAAATTGTCTTTTTTTTTTTTTTGAATATTATATGGTAAGTGGAGCCTTTTGCAGATAGTAAATTGATCTATCTTGTACTTTAAATATGTCTAAGAGCATCTTTGCCAAACTCCTGTTTTCTTCACCATGTTTCACACAGATACAAGTCAACAATAGTATTACACACAATGACCTCAATGCTTGCATTGTGCAAGCTATTAAGACTTCTGAGTTTGAAGAAGTGTTGCTATGAAGATAGGTTAATTATCTGATACACCCAAATGATCTCTTTTTTTTCACCTGAGAAAATTTATTGCATGCACTAGCCATTGTACTACTAAGATATGCTGGATATGCCTTACAAACACTGGATCTAATGACCTGGAATTGAAGTGCTGCGAGCTGCTACCCTTTCCTCCAAAGAGAGACTTCTGGTGTGTATTGTGAAGGAAATCTTGTGTGACCGGGTCAACTCATGCAGAATGAACAGAGTCAGATGCCTTACGCAGGCACGTTTAATGAATCGCGGCAGTTGCAAATAACGCACAGCAAAACAAGGTGACACATGGAAAGCCACGCTCCATTTTGGAAGCCATTCTGATAAAAGAGCCCATTTATACATAAACAAACCCTTGATATGTATTGCACGTTCCTCTTCATGCATCTCTCTCTGAATACAAGACATGATGTACATAGCGGGTCTAAAAGGAAGAGTAGACATGCTAACCATGCATGCTCTTTTTTCAGTAGCTTGGAAAGGAGGAGCTCTGGAGATACTTGGTGTCTCCAAACACACTGATAGACACTGAGCTGTTTGTTTGTTTGTCTTTTACCAGTGTTGTGCCACCATTTGGTGAACTCATCTAGGCACCTCTTTAAAAGGACCTTTGCAGCCCCAATTAATTGAAGGGCAACCCCACCAAAGGAAAAGTTCTTCCAAAGGTATAAAGAGACAGGTGAACTTTATTGCTTTAACAGACAGTTCACCAGGTTTGAAGTCTTCTCTTGAACAGGATGGAACTAGTGGACACGTGCTGTAGTGCTCAAAATAGCAAAAATAAATAAACCAACAACAAAAAAAGGCACAAGCCATCTTTATTTCAAGAAATATATATATGAGAATAGCATCTCAGGCATTCCTTAGTACTCTTTTCAAAGCCTGTATGTAGGTCTACAGGGTGACACTTTTGTTTGTAGGAACTAGAACTGGTGTATGTAAACTTCATTGCTCTGATGTAGACAGCATTCTGAAAACATTTTGAAGTCACAACGCATTGTGGTTTCGTCAAATATTAAGATTTGTCCTTAAAAACTTCCTCCCTTATTTGCATGCACCGCGGCACAT